CTATCTACTATATTCAGTAAAGATTAATAGTTTTAATATTACGTACAGTTAATCTAGATTAACTGTCTAATTTTTAACTTAACTGTAATTAGATATAGAAATTCTATTAATCTAGCTATAATCTAGCAGTTAGATATAATTGACCCTATTAACCTAACCTAACCTGGCCAAAAACCAGTCTAATTATAATTATTTAAAAAAATATATTCTATATATTAAAATATAATTTAGAAAATATATTAATTAATAGTTTTTAAATAGTAAATCTATAATAAATATAAAATTAATTTTTAAATAAAAAAATAATTAAAATATTAGAATTAGATTCAAATATAAATTTATTTTATTTTATAGAGAATAGATTATTTTATATACTAAAATAATAAAGTATCTTACCGGCCGAATACCAAGCTTACACTGGTATAGTTTGCTTACTTTTAGAATATATCTCAGTACAGAGAATCATTTATTATTGTAGGATAATTATATAATTGACATAGATGAACCCTTTGAGTACCTATAGTATAAAAGGGCGCGGTACAACAGTAGGCGGTTGATATATCTGGGAAGTATAACATTTTCAAACCAACTACCTGACACAAAGCAGGCTTTCGCTCCTGTTGGCATCATCTCGGCTCGGGCTAATTACAGATAAGTAGTAATTTGAATCAACAACGAACACACCATATACTGAATTATGTGATGTGTATCAATATTCTATAGATTAGCTAATGTTGTTACTTCAATTAATACATGGAACCACAGTATAGCCATAATTCAATGACAAAAAATAGATACCTCCGCCTTTCCCCCCAACAGGATCGAAAGCCTGCTTTGTATCAGGTAGTTGGTTTGAAAATGTATAAACAAGGTTGATGCATACTCGATATCGAGCTTCGAGACAACCTATCTATGAGTTGAAAGAGAGGGACGACGAAAAGGGGAAAGGGGGGATGAAAATAAAAATAACAAAGAACAAGATCGAGGAGACGGCAGGTGGTTGCCAAAGCAATACTACTGGTCCTTCCTGGCGTCTCCTGAAGCCTTGTTCTCTCTCCGTCGTTTAATGGCCTCTGGGCTGTACTCGGTATCCAGAAGATAATCCCACCATCTGAAACTGCTAGAATAGTTACCGACAAATTTCTCGTGGTGAAGATCATGGTGGTCAGCGCCCGCCCAGAATGGCAGGAAATGATGGAGACTCCAAGGGAACTCATAGCCGCTGTGTGCGTCGATAGCTTGGAACAGCCGCAGTACAATCCAAACGTACATGGTGAAAATGTGCAGATCACCGGTTACTGCGCACCAGAGGATCGGGCAGCCAACAGTACCGAAACCGAGAATCATTACTTCGATCGGAGAAGCATATTCAGCTGCCATTCCGAAGGGGGCCGAATATTGGTGGTGGATCTTGTGAATAGCCTTGTAAAGGGGACCCCAATGAAGTGCTCGGTGTGAGAAGTAATGCCATGTATCCTCAAGCACAAAGAAGATTGCAATTTGGTAGGCCATTGTCCAAAAGGTGGGAAAAGGAACCGATGTTGAAAGGCCAAAGAATTGAGCCATGGGATGGAATAGCCTGACGGCAAATTGTTAGGTTGAAATCAAAACATTCAAAAAGATACACACCAGATTTGAGGTAGTTCAACTGTAAAATGGCTCAGTAGTACAAATTTCGCGCAATCCCATTGCTCGCGCAATGACGGAATTTTATTCTCCGAACCAGTTAGCAAAATATCTCTCGAGTCGGAAGTGATATGCACATACACTTTGGATTTTATAACCCTTGAGCAGGCCCAAGCTGTCTATGAAGATCCAAGGTAGGGAGCGTCCGAAATAGACAATCTCGTGCATAACGAAAGACATAATGCCAGTCGCCAGGACGTCGTTCTGCATCCAAGCATACCATGCTGTCCATAGCCTCTCGAGTACATTTAAGTGAGTATTGTATTTGGAAATTTCTTCAAACTGGCCCCAGTAAGTCTCCGGGGTAGCCGACAGTAGCGTCGAATTCCTTTATCGGGTCAGCATAGATATAAAATAACCATTGCAATGACACAAGCTTACATTGTGTTTACAAATTTGTCCTCAAGGAGCGACTGGCTCGCTTGTAATTATTTCACCAAGAAATACCAATGTGTATGGCCCTATTGTGGGGGAAAAGAGGAGGGGAAAATAGGAAGGGAAGGATTGTAGAGGAGGAAGCGCCGGTGGGAGACTTTATCTGAAAGGGTTGAAACTTGGAGGGTGTGTGGGCGGTATTTCAGGGACAGGGATAAAGCTGCGCGATCAAGGGCCTCCAGTCCCGAGGTGGCGAGACCTTTTTTTCTGCTGTTCCCCTTACTCTGCCTTGGCTTTTTCTGGCGCCACCGCCTAGCCGATTTGGACCGATGCTGTGCTCCACAAGCCGAAGCCCCACTGATGTTGACTATTGTCCACTAATATCATGTTTATTGTTATTTATTCAGCGTAAGTACTCCGTACTTTTGCTACCTATCTATGCCCATCCAGATCTATTCCCTCTCCGGCTCGAAATTCAGTATCTTGAACCTTAGGATAAAGTAAATACAGGAGATACGATCCTTATCAGTCTTGCTGACCTCACCTCAGCCTACTACCTATGCTGCGTCCACTAGTCCAGGTCACAGGTCCATAAGACCCTGACACCTTGTTAATCTTATACTGCACTGCAAAGCACTCCGGAGTAGGTTACTACTAGTACCCCGTAGATTATTATTATAGATATATGCACCCTTGATTTTTATATGTTTAAAATTAAGTACATTCATTACTGCAACCATTGTCTAAGATATGCAAGCTCCTAGATAAGTAACCATATTTGCCAGTTATAGGGTTCTAAAGTGTTTTACAGAAGGCTTAGGGGCTTTAGAGATCGCGAGATCTTCAGTCTTGAATAAAATTTCCGATAGATAGATACTCTGTGCAGAGTACTCTGTAGTCATCCAGGTACCAGCCTAAGGATAAAAGTTAACTAAAGTAAAATATAAACTATGCCAAGAACTGGTATTAATTACAATACTCCATACAAAGTATTTTTTACATGTTTAGAAGTGTCTAGGTCAGATTAATGGTGAGAGTGACGCCATTTATAATATAAGTATATATTTTCCTTGGAGAAAGCCCCTTCTTCTCTCTTCAAAACACACAGAATCACAATCATAGGGCAGAAAATGTCAGTTATTAACAAGTAGGTCAATAGATGTATGTCGTTTCGAGGGCTATCCCTGCTAACAAATTAAAAGTGACATTTGCCGCTTAGATACGCAGCTGGATCAAATTAAGCAGGAAATCAACGACTCATACTTTACCTCACTGGAGACCCACAAACATACGCATGATTTGGACGCCAATGCAGAGCACATATCTTATTTAGAAAATGCGATCAGCTCTCTCTCTGTGCCCTCCAAGTCCCGACCAATACTTCCTCCTGAGCATATCGTGGAATTGACTTTGAAGCTCTTCCGTCCCCCGGGTGAACCATATGGATTGCTTTCGGGTGTGTCCACGGACCGTGAACTAGAACTCACATGGCTGGCAGTTACGAAAGCTACTGTACAAACTCTAGGGGTGGTCTTGCGGTCTCTCCTAGACCGAAGTCTGCTCCTGAGCGATGAAATCTTTTATTGGGACACAATCCTGGGATCCTATTGGCACATCGGTGTTTATACACTTCAAACATCGCCTTTCCGGCTTTGGCGCAGGTTGACCAAGCCTCGCCCTAGCAGAAATGATAGTGGTGCCAAGGCAAGGTTTCCCACGTTTGTCTCAGCCCAATGGTCACATTTTTATGAGTCCATACAGAGATGCTTCTTCGCAGGAAACTTGCATGCTCTACAGGCAAACGTACTGTCACCGTTTGTAGCAGCCAAGTCTGAGATAAGGCGGAAGCGGGAAAGGCTTAAGGTAATGAGGGACCTCAATGCCCATGGTATCGGGCTCCTCATGAGAGAGTGTTTCCCTGCTCAAGCAAATGACGATGATTGTAACTGGGCAAGGTGCATTTCCGCCGATGATTACTGGCGTAAGACGGTATGCAGAAGTGTGATCTTGATGGGGACATTTCTGCAAAAATTGCCCAGTGACAGTGGTATTCTTGATTTTGGGGAAGACGTTCTTTTGGCTACTGACAACGAGATTGCTTGTCTCCAAACAGAATCTGATGGCAAGCGCTCCAACCGAACACCCGAACTAGTCGCCAAGAAACTCCATGATATACTGCTTAGACTCCTTCCTGCCCACAACACCCTTGCATTGACAACTATTGACAAGCACCGGCGCCCGTCGCGTCTGTTGAGATACTGGCTTCCATTATCGATGCTGTTCCTAACAGCGAGTACCTCTTTTAAGGTCCTGAAGAATCATCGCCATCAGATCATTAGATGGGTTACTAGTGCCGTGGAAACTACATTTGAATTTTGGAGTAATTGGGTTTTTGATCCAATTCAAAGGCTCATTGGAACTATAAGGCATGATGAGAAGAGCGAGATTGCCTTGATGAGCAAGAACAGCTTAGAGGCTGATCGGGCAAGCTTAGAACGAATGGTAGTCGACTTCATCCTTGATCGTGGCGAACCGAAGCCCGATGATTATGTGCTTGATATCAGTTCTATCGCAAACAAGGTTAGGGAGGGAGATTTAACACCAGTACTGAGAGCGTACGAAAAAGATCTACGGACTCCCTTTGTCGGAACTGTACGAGGTGACCTTGTACGAGCACTCTTGATCCAAATCCAGAAGACGAAGGTAGATGTAGAGATCGCAATTGGCGGCATTGACGCTTTGCTGAAAAGCCAGGAACTCGTTTTTGGGTACGTGTCTTCTTCAATATATTGCGGTAGAATGGGCTAACGCTCGCAGATTCGTTGGCCTCACACCCGGTATACTGGTCTCATACGCATCTCTTCGATGGTTCTGCGGTCTTTTTGGCAATAGAAAGGGTCTGAGAATGGGTAGGCGGCAGGATGAATTAAGACATGCACTGCGGTATGTAGTATGTGGTGTAATGTGGGATGTGCTGACCTTGGACAGGAGTGCTCACCGAACTTTGACATCACCTACCTCTGCACATACTGGCGTGCTCGCATACAAGGATCATGGTCTTCTGATCTGTGACGCCGAGGTTTTGCTTAAGAAAGCAGAAGCTCTCCTGAGGGGGGCAGAGCTCCGCGCCTTTAGAGAAGATGTGGCTGACCTCATTAACCAGAGAATGGTAGTGCGGCAGCTTGAAATTGTTGGCAGAATGGGCTGGGTCTACTCAAAATGGATGCAATGATCGAGTTCTGGGCACACAGTAGCCGCATTGTTGGACTTGCGCCCCCCCCCCCCCCCCCCCCGGTGGACAGTCAAGAGCCTCGGGTTACTAATTGCTTTCATTTCAAGGGGCGAGGGGACCGGCTATGATTTTCGGGCCAAAGGGCATATTAGGTTGAAGATTTTCGGAACCAGCGTATGTATATACGGTTTAACGTGAGGAATATAACCAAAGCTGAGGCCGATCGCGATTTTTCAGGGGGTCGATTAGCATACAGTCATTTGCAAGTTAAATCAGCACTTTCGGTTGAATGGGATCCTATCACCAGTTCCTAGCAAGAAGACCTAAAGAGAGTACTGGTTTTGATACTAATTGTTACTACTAGTGATATCGGCGCTGAATGGGGGATGAAATGGAAAAAGTGTATTGGATTAGCGCCTTGCCGTCCGTATATATTAGTAAGATCTTCCCTCATGAGAACCCCAAACGCCCCAAGCCTACAAACCAGTAGCCATGTAGATACTGTGATAGATTATAAAGGTTGGGATTGAAGTACGTATTCTCATAAATGAGACGGATGTGTGGGGTATGCAGCTTGTACATACGTGTCGTATGTCCCTAACCAGTTTAATACAGTACCAGACCTCAAGGCAAAGTTACAGTGAAAGTACCGATCGCTCCGCCTATACATACCCATAATGTCGTTGTATCCCTAGCTGCTTACTTTACTCCGTAAACCACTCATCCACCCAGGCACCATTTTGTGCCGCCACTCTCTATCTTTTTTGATGAATGTCAGAACAACCGATGTCTAAGATACCGACCCCAGTATTTCAATATTCCAAGGTTGCATCCCCATAAACAGACCGCCTTCTTTACCGCGAGACGTGATCGTATTCGCCCGCCCTTTCCCCCTGATTCCCCGTATAGCGCCCCCGAGTTCCTTGAGTCCTCTCTAGCCAGCAAGCCTACCTTGCCACCATTCGGTGGCTGCAGCCTTCCTGCAGAGGAATCACTAAAGTGGAAGAGAATTAGAGTACCGATCGATAGGCTTTTCTTTTCTCTCTTGAAGGGGAAAAAGGAAAGAAAGAAAGAATAAAGGACAGAAAGAGAAGATACTGCGGTGGTGCCAGAGGACTTGAGTTTCCCGACAATATATCGCCAGAATTTTTGTCAGAAGCTATTGTCGTGAGACATCGTTGGCGTGTGTGACTGAATCCATCGCTACCTTGATTCTGCTTAGCTCAGACTAGCGCCACCTGCGTCTACTTCATCATGGCTGGTACAAGAAACTATGATTTTTTGGTGAGTTTAGCCGTTCTTTTGGTGGATAATAGACTAATAGATGACATTTAGATCAAACTTCTGTTGATCGGAGATTCTGGGGTGGGAAAATCATGTTGTTTGTTACGATTCAGCGAAGATTCATTTACCCCATCCTTCATCACGACTATTGGAATTGACTTCAAGATCCGTACAATCGAACTCGACGGAAAGCGTGTAAAGCTTCAAATATGGGATACAGCTGGACAGGAGCGCTTTAGAACGATTACAACGGCTTACTATAGAGGGGCAATGGGCATACTTCTGGTCTATGATGTCACTGATGAAAGATCATTTCAAAGTAAGGGCTTACTCTCCTGATTCTAGGCTGGAACGTTTTGGCTACGACACTAACCTTGTTTCCCAGACATCCGTACATGGTTCTCAAACGTCGAACAGCATGCAAGTGAAGGTGTGCATAAAATTCTCATCGGAAATAAATGTGACTGGGAAGAGAAGAGAGCCGTGTCAACTGAACAGGGTCAGCAGCTAGCTGATGAGCTTGGCATACCCTTCCTTGAAGTGTCAGCAAAGAACAATATCAATATTGAGAAAGCCTTCTACAATCTTGCCTCGGAAATTAAGAAAGGCATGGACACATCGAAATCTGAACAGCCTGGTTCGCAAGGTGTCAGCATAGATCAGCAAGGCCCGGGGCTGAATGGCAATACAGGAGGCAAGTGTTGCTGATGTGCTTGTTAGTATACCCTCCTGCTTTGACCTTTTGTCCACCTTACACACCTACTCCTTTTCTCCCTAAACTTCGGCAAACAGCTATTCTGCCATTGACTCGAACAAGAACAAGCTAGGGCTTTCATGCTCCAATGGACGCTGAGCCTAATCTTTTGCGGAACACCCTTCATGTATGTCCATAAATTGCGGCCATGGTGCAGGCCGCCGTTCTGTTATAGTCGTTCGAAATATGTTTGGTGGCGTTGTTTAATTTTGTGTTACGCTATACTGGGTATTTGTGTTACAGGAAGTGACATGAGTGTTGCCATCGAGTATTAGCATAATACTTCATGTATTTTGATTTGGCAGAAGGTGCAAGAGTGCGTGCTGATAATGAAAGCATCCTTTGCTGCGTATTGCGTATTGCCCAAAAAATGGTGGAGAGAAGAGGGAATAAAGTAGCCGCCACTCCTGCTTCCCTTCAGTCAAGACCGATAATCATGATGTGAAGAGAAGGTTTATGAATCATATACCTTGCGAAGTAATTTGCCTTGAGTTCAATGCTAGCTTTGAGAGAACATCATGCTCGAATGACAAAGCCCCACAATATAACATAACATCTAATATCAAAAAATGCACTCCGCTTTCACATGTGGACTTGGTTCATGGGGATCTTCGTTTCCAAGTTTTGGAAGCGGCTTCTGATGCCAGACACGAGTGAAACGAGCAGCCTCGAAGGAAGTGAGGAAATTAACACGCCACATTCTTATGAAATTGGCGGTTGACTGACTCAGACTGCCCGTACCCTCAAGATTCATTTTGGATAGCCCCAACACAGTTGTTGGTTCTATTTGGATAACGGCATCATCTGTTTTTGGTAAAGCCCATCGTCGACCTCTCATAATGCCATCTAGCTTGAGAAGCTTCCTGATATGATGCGAGTCCAAAGAGGGAAAAGAGAGGTAATCTAACTGCAGTTTCACAGGGAAGAGTTTCTTTCCAGAGGATTCTGATGGGCGCAGTCCTTTGTGAATCCCCATTGTGTGCTGTAACTTGAATTCGAACGGGAATAGCTGCGCTGCTACAGAAACATTACGTAGTGATGAGCCGAGCGCATAGTTAAAGTGCTCGCTATGTTTGACCCTGCCATTTGTGGATGTTTCGGCCAGCATATCCAATACTGTTGTGGTAGTAGGAGCCACCTGCCTAAGATAGAGTTCTTGCAACTCTATGACCCTTTGTTGATATTCCACGCGTAGGCCGGAGAGGTAAATATCAGCAGCCAAGAATCGGAGCGTTGCAGCGTTTGACGATTTCGTATAGGTAGGACTGAATTCTTATTAGTCAAAGCAATTCGCACATTATATCCTCGTATGTATGGATACACCTTCTTCTAGCCCCTTCAAGCTATAGTCTTTAGATGCTAGCATCCTACGAAAGTCATAGGAAGTCAATGATTGACTCGCTCCAGAAAGTATGAGTGCTGTTCTATGGCCTCGGTGACTGCGCTCGCTTGATGTTATTTTCAGCCTTCCACGTTCAATGGCAACACCACAGCCCTCTATTCCCATTACAATATCCGCGATGCGTGGCGTACTCGGCCGGTCCGTTTCTGAGACATCTTGAGGTTTTCCTGATCTCTTAGCCGAGGAAAGATTTGTTGTAGACACTCGTGAGCTAAGAAGACATGTAATTTTTTGAGACAGCTTTGGTGGCCCTCGAAGTTGTGAGGTTGGTCGACGTGTTGCTGATGCCCATAAATGCCCCCGGGGGCTATAGAACATACCGATTCGCTTCCGACACAAGGTGGAATTGATAATGGTTATGCTGATCTAAGCAGGTGGGAAAGAGAGGGCTGACGTTAGGCAGGGGGGCGGAGCTGGAGTTGTTCGGATTGGTGGATACTGTGCGAGACCATCTTAGAGCTCGAGAATCTACAACAGTCTCAGGTATTCGGAATTTAGAATATTCAGCGACATACAGACTTTTACACAGGCAGAAAATACCCATGATAGTAGGCGGTCGTCAATATCACGCTATACCATATTGGGGTGTTCTAAATTTCAACTTAATTACCTCCCACTGTACAGAGGTGTTTCAAAAGTTATCAAACTGCGCTAGTAATATTGGCCTCAGATAGAGGTAAAGTCTTTACTATACAGCTCAATACTCAGAATTAATAGAAAGTAATTTTATTCTTTTATTATATAATTACTGATCAATTGGTTGTCTCTTTGAAAGTTGAAAGATATATATATCTTCTCTTAGTTCTGGGTCACGTGGCATTAAGCTATATCGTAAAGGCTTTACCTCTGTCTGAGGCCAATATTACTAGTGCAGTTTGATAACTTTTGGAACACCTCCGTACAGAGTAGTACGATTAAGTGGATTATTACCCTGCCCTCTCAAAAAGGAACGGGTCAGTGCGGGGCGGTGATCTAAATCCGCATCCATACAGTGGGATGCCAAAAGTTTGAAACTATCCGCTTGACCGCCTAACATACCGCTATATTTCAACCCTATCAAATTCAGTGCTTGAGCCTACACACCTCTATCTACACATTGAATTATAACTTCTAGAGAGGATATAGATATAAGTTATTGAGTTAGATAGCTGGTATAGTAATTATTAAGACCCAGGGAGGGAGTTTGCGAGATTTCTGCCACGCAGAATAGTAAAATTAGGAAAGCGGTTAAACTGGGCAATAAATGGATGGTTTCAAACTTTTGACATCCCACTGTATGTTAGATAAAAAAAAAGGATGAGGACAAATCTATTAGCCACTCATCATTTTTTACATTTCCCTTCCCTCCTTAGACATTCGCGCCTAGAATATTCCTCCTACCCCTCTTATTTTCATTCGTTCCTCTGCTTTCTTCCCTAACTCCAAAGCAGTTCAGCATCGTTGTGTAGCAAAGACGCACTGCAATGCCTGCAATATAGAGTGTCCGGTCATACCTGCACCATCAGAATACCTGATATAGTTTTCAGCCACATTCTACATGTTGAAATATTGTATATAATCTGATATTTCTCCTACGGGCATTATTTGGTCAGCCCGCACGAAATGTCGGAACCCCGCCTTTTCACGGTTCGACCGCTTTCGAAACAAGCGAGAACTGACCATAAAGATGCGTTTCGCGTTTATTTATCGTCGTCGTCGTTGGCTGCCCTTAAGCTTCGGGCTGGAGATGCTTGTACCTTGAACTACTCTGGTGAAAGTGCGAAGACTGCAATAGCTTGGAGCGCAACAGAAAACATACAAACTACGGTCGTACAGACTTCAAGGACACTACAGGACTGCTACGGCGTCAAACTTGGTGAGAAGGTGTCTATTTGCAAAATCGATGGGCCTTTGGGAGAGATTGAATCTATCTCTTTTGTGGAATGCTCTGATATCGAACGAATGGCGAGATATGGCTCCCTCCCGCCATCGGAGAGGCACCACTGGGCCTGGGCTTTGGAGTTTCCTCTTGCCAGATGTGATGCTCTCGCTGTCGGATTGATATTTGATTTAGAGCTTAAGGGACAACGAAGGAGCTTCAAAGTAACAACTATGCGGGCCTTGAATCAAACCACCCATACCACATTATTGCGGTTCACTGAGAATTCCAAAATATTGATTGGCGATGGTTCAGATGAGGAGAATGAAGTCCAATGCTTTGATATACAAGTACAGTCATCTGGTCTGGGTGGAGTGGGCCGCCAGATTGATAGTATTAATGAGAGCCTGGCTGATTTCAACATGGGCTCAGGGATTGTGGCAATGCCTTCTTTCTATGAGCATACTCGGGGATTTCTCCTTTACGGGCCAAAGGGGACAGGGAAAACAGCCCTTCTTCGTCAAATACAAGCCGCCGGTTGGCGGAAAGCATTCAATATCGGGTCTTCCACATTCGGCAGGAATATTGGCGATGGCGAAGCTAAGCTCCGCAATCTGTTTCAAGATGCAATTCGTTGCCAGCCGAGTGTTGTGGTCATCGACCAACTGGACTTCATTGCTCCCAAACGGACATCGTTGGATTCTCAGTCTTTGACATCTGTTCTTTGTGAATGTTTGGATCTTGCAAGAGGTGCTATGGTTCTTGTTGTAGCTGCAACTCGACATCCCAACGAAGTTGATGATGCTTTGAGGACTCCACATCGATTGGCGACTGAGATTGAACTGCATGTCCCTACAGCCTATGATCGTGCCGAAATCCTGCGCGCTATATGCGGATATCAATCTCCTGTACTGAGTGACAGGCTCATAGATATGATGGCGGAGAAGACTCATGGCTATGTTGGGGCCGACTTGTTTGCTTTACTTCAGCTCGTGTGTCGCAAGGCGCGTCAGAGACAGATTAACAAAGCTGACTCGAATAGTTGGCCTTTCCACCAAGCGTCTATGTTTACCAGCGACTCCAGGGATGACTTAGCCACCAAGGAAACTGTGCCTTTGGAAGTCCAAGAGGCCGACGTATTAACGGCTTTACAGGAAACCCGTCCAACTGCGATGCGGGAAGTATTTCTAGAGACACCAAAAGTGAGATGGTCGGACATTGGTGGGCAGCATGATATCAAACGGCGTCTTCAGAAGGCCGTTGAGAGGCCTTTGAAAGTGAGTATCTCCATTAATGATCCACAAGAATGGAACTGACGACTGTAGCATCCTGAACGAATGAGGAGGCTCAATGTAAACAGTAAGAAAGGCATTCTGCTGTATGGGCCACCGGGTTGCTCCAAGACCTTGACTGTCAAAGCACTTGCTACCGAAGCGGGCCTGAATTTCATGGCCGTAAAAGGTGCTGAAATTCTAAGTATGTATGTTGGGGAGTCGGAACGGGCTCTACGCGATATTTTTCGAAAGGCACGATCTGCGAGGCCTAGTATTATCTTCTTTGATGAAATCGATGCAATTGCCTCAAAGCGCAGTAGTACGTCCCAAGGGGGTGTCAATGTGCTCACAACTTTATTGAACGAAATGGATGGAATTGAGGAGTTGAAGAGTGTCTTGGTCGTCGCCGCGACAAATAAACCAGAGGTAATTGACCCGGCTTTGATGCGCCCAGGCCGTTTGGACAATATCCTTTACATTGGACCCCCGGACTTTGAGGCGCGGAAAGAGATATTGAATATTTGGTGTCGTAAATCTGTTGTTCATCCCAATGTAAGTTTGGAAGAACTGGCCTGGAAGACTGAAGGCTACTCAGGAGCGGAAATTGTGAGTATTTGCGAGACTGCCGGAGATGCCGCATTGGACGAGGAAGAGGAGACTGGTCAAGCACAAGATATTCGGTGGGAGCACTTCGAAATCGCGCTCAAACAAGTCAAGCGGCAGATCACGGACAGTGTTATCCAGCAATACGAGCAATGGGGGGATTCAATTGATATTTAGATTATGCTTACCTCATTACACCATGATTTGAACAGATTGAATTCATGGGCAATGTTAACTGCGTGGAAGCAACAAAAACAAAAAGGTAAAGTAGACACAACTGCTATATCACCATTAGCTGATACTGGTTATGACGGGGGCGGGAATTTGTAAATTTAATGTTTTCTGGGTATTGATGAACAAACATCCATCGAAGGACAAACGTATAGCCCCAACCTCGATTTTTCTCACCAAAACTTGACCTCTGCAAAGTGGGGAACAAGGCCTGGGCCAATTGGAGCTTAATTGTTAGTCTAGCCAGGATCAGCTAGCTTTAGACATCACATCAATTAGGTTCCCGTAACAATTTACTCTTAACATCGACACTGTTTGAACTCTTATACTACATATGTACTACCCTTCAACCGTCAAACCTGAAACAAACGAGGTCCTTGGCACATTTGTGTGATACTATATCTGCGATGGGAGGTCGCTCGCCAAATCGCTCACCACCACTTCACCCAGATCTCGAGCAAGCTTCAACCCCAATGAGACGCACGATGTCCCCTCGTTCAGAGTCTAGACCCAGGAGCGAGCGAAGCGCATCATTTGATCATGTTAACCGTAACGGTTACCGCTCCAGGAGCCGATCTCGCTCCGCTTCGCGATCAAGGATGCTTTCACGAAGCCGAAGCCGAAGCTGGAGTAGTCGGAGTCGCAGCCGCAGTCGAGGCTCCCGACGGTGTAGAGACAGAAGTTATAGTAGAACTCCTAGCCCTTCAGATAGCCTGCCAAGGAGCTCAAAAGTCTGTGCTATTGTTTACTGTTGCCCCATCTTCGCCTTCTATATATGAAGCTTACAAAAAATAGATTGTGGTTGAAAAACTGACGAAGAATGTAACGGAGTCACACCTTCGAGAAATATTTGGGAGCTTCGGGGGTATAGAGAGCCTGGATCTCCCTATGAACAAAGTTTGTATGTATGCGCAGATCTCCTTGTCACTCTATGGACCGCCTAACGCACGCACTTTTTCAAGTTATGACAAACCGAGGCACAGCATATATACTTTACAACGATCCCGCGGATGCAGAGGCGGCTATTGCACACATGCACGAGGCCCAACTCGATGGGGCTGTCCTTAATGTTTCTATTGTTCTTCCCCGAAGAGCATTTTCCCGATCACCACCACCCCAGAGCAGCAGGTTAAGCTTCGGCCGTCAAAGGCACAGCCGTGGCCAGCCACCGGACTCTCGTTATTCTCGCCCTTCTCCCTATCCTCCCAGATCCCCTCCCCACCCGAGAAGTTCGGCCGCACTAGGCCCATGGAAAGACATGACCTTTATCGTCCACGGTCTTTATCTCGATCACGATCGCCACGTCGCTCTCGATCATCGGAATTCAGGTCAGCGTCCCCACCGAGGAGGGGACAGCTGCGCCCTGGCAGCCCGCGACGTGGTAGACGCCGCAGTCCTAGTTATAGCAGTTATGACTACAGCAGCCACAGTGACAGAAGTAGAAGCCCCAGCAGGAACAGAGGTCCTGGTCGATATGGTCCGCAAAGGCGGTGAATCGCACGGAGCCACAAGACGAGGTTTCCGACTTTCTACTCACTGAATTCTTCTTCTACTCTAGGGGGTTGAGCAAGTATTGGCAACATTGTATTTATGTAATAGTACAAAGATTCAGCTTAGGGTCTTTGTATGCGAGACATAATTAGAGACAATGCCAGCTTTATTAATCTGAATTTTACTCCTTAAACACTAAAGAGCGCTATGCAAAGACGTAGGTAAGGAAATCGGAAATCGGAAATCGGAAATCGGAAATGCGGCATGCTTGTTAGGCTGAGTAGCTCTAGAAGAATGCGCACCAACCAATGTACATCGCGGCAAGGTTCTTTTCATCGGTTGCTTGCACAATCAATTCATCTACATGGCCATCCACCGACAATGGAACAGATTCCCCAGGTAGAAGACCACGGAGTTTGTTACGGACATTTTCGAGCACACCTGCAGGCGTCACTGGAACACTAACATGGGTGCGTCGCTTCATTAACATATTAGCATTGCAGTGACACTTGAAGAATAAATGTGCTTACCTTTACCTTCTTCCCAATGAAGTCTGTTGTTGGATCGTGCAAAAATGTTTCAAGTACAGTCATCAGAGCATCCTCATTTTGCCGGAGTAAACCAAGGCTTATTTCGCAAGTCTTCCGGAACGGTCCTGTTCACAGGGTTAACCGTGGTGATATCTGCTAACTACAGACTCGGTCTACACATACCGTTATACCCATAAGCTCCAAATGCGTCCACCATATTCTGAGTGAGACGAAACGGAACTAGTTCGGGTTTATCAAACGTTAAGCCCTATATCAATTCACTCTTAATGCGGGGCGGAAAGACTAAGGGAATTCAAGTTCTTACCTTGTCAAAAAGGCAATTGAAATCAACATGCAAAATACCGCCAGTGCCCTCCTCAAATAGGATATTTTCGCCATGTCGATCCCCGAGCCTTCGATGAATGGAAGTTAGACGAGAACATATACCCAAGGAGTACAGACATACCCTAGAACGTATCCAACCATTGACATGACTGCACAAGACCGAGTATAGCGAAGCCTTGCTGCAAACCATGTTCCAGACTCCGGAAACATCTCGACAAACCACTCATGTAGGACAGGGGGAAACCTATACTTGTATTAGCCATACTACTTGCAATTGTAGGTCATATTGGGATCATACTTTGGTAGAATTTTGCTGGTAAACAAAGGCAACTTCGAGATCTCCGAACATGCTTCATCGAGATAACGTCCAATTTCTGTGTACTGTGGAAGCGTCAGCTATTCAACCAGATAGAGATGGTAAGAAGTTTCATGATGCCTCCTACATTTGGCGCGATGCCCCGCTCCCTCAACAACTTGCTAACAATATCCCTCAATGTTCGGAGATTATCAACCCATTCAATCAGTCCACATTCTTCATTCAAAGGTGTAACCGCGTATGTTTTGATATCTTTCTTTAATCAGCCTTTACAACGCCTTCGCAGCTGAGATGGGCTCTTACACATGCGTCGTTTACTTGATTCAACATCCCTTTTAAGGAGCCTATTGATCATGTTGTTGAACTCCATGAGGCGCTGATCTTTGCGGAGATCATCTTTGGGCTTGCAGAGGATATTGTAAATTTTTCCATCCGACCCTCGAACGCTGATCTTCCGTGGTTTCTGAAGCGAGTTCAGGACTAGAGCTTCGTTAAGAACAGCTAAATACAGTTAGACATACACATCTCACTCATGTACCAGGAAACAAAACATCACCATATACCTTCAATAGTGGTTGGGTCTCTAGGGAAAGCCCTAAAACCCTTGAGGTACTCTGCATCATGGCTTGCCGGTAGAGTCGGAGTCAACAATGCTTGAAATGGTACAACAAGTCGACAAGGCGCAACTTTGTGATCGAACTTCAGAGCTTGCTTTAGATCGATTATGGAGGCCTTTTCGACACGCGCTACGCATAGCTTTAGCATCTCTTCAGAGAACCTTTGCCCCTGGTTTATCATCGCACGCATATCTGACGGTGCTTCCATCTTTAACTTCTTGTTTACTTCCTTGTATCTTGTTAGTGCTCAGAACCACTCATTGTATAGGTAACCATACCGTAATTTTTTGAAGACAGTTCATACCCCTGGATGCCCTATCCTTCGAAGACGACTTGACCACAGCAAGCACTATCCATAGCCCTTGTTGAGGAAAGAAGTTTACCACCTTGGCGACTATCTTTGTTAATAGGTCATAGACGGTGGTATTCGGGTGGCAGATTCTTGCAACCACCTGAGGAAGAATCGTGAATAACTGAAATTATTAGTAATTTTCTGAGAGTAAACGATCAAAAAGTGCTCACCAGTGCAGCCGGCATTCGGTTGATGTATTTTTTTAGTTGTGAATGCATATCATCCAGGATTTTTCTCCTTTGATTCAAGGTATGTGTTTGAAAGTCTCTGTGTCACATTTTATTAGCAGCTCTTCGCCAACTGAATAAAATCGGACCCTGAATAAAACAGAGTATATTGTAGGAAAAATGTTTCACGTACTCATTATTCCCCCTTTTCGGATCAAACGGCTGATCAACAGTAGACGCATGTTCCAGCCAAAGGGTGAGAACTTTGGGTAATGACTGAAAAACATATTTATTCCCATGTGCTAGCGATCGGAGATAATTGTCAATCACCAATTTAGAAGCCTCGCCACTTAAGCTAGGAATATTTAGTATAAAATAATAAAGTCAGATGAGACGTGGGAGAGCAAAGGGACTCACTATATCTGTGCTTCTTTCCCTAGTGGTTTGGCTTTCTCCAAATCTAAGATCTTGTTGTAGTGCTTCCCTAGGTAATAATGGGCCTTTTCCCACCTGATACTAGTTAGTATGGGGGCGGCCCTAGGAAAAATTGTGCGAGTACCTCGAATGTAGGTAGATGGCTTCTCGGTACCTCTGTACTATGACATCTGACTGTGTCTGCCCGGCTCTGTCTGTCCATTTCGCTAACAAAAGATGAGCCTGAACCCCATATATTAGTGATGGCATTCCACAATCTAAAAGAGGTTGAGATATTACCCTGGCGGCAAGTAAATTTTGGTGTCTTTCTTGGTTTGAGACTAGATAGACAGAGACAGGACCATCCGATGTATTGTCTGTAGCAAATTCATTGGCAGCTATTGCGCCTTCCAATGTTTGTATTGCTTTACGATGGTAACCATCCTTCCACAGAAGTCTAGCATGCTCAATAGTCGCTGATCTATTCTTCAAACGAGCCGCATGAAGCATCGACTGATATGCTTGGTTAGTGAAATTGCCCTTGCGTAAAAGGCGAGTACTGGCAAGCCAGGCATCAGCTATATCTGAATTGGGGAAGTTGCACCTTGTACATGTGTTAGTGTTAGGCTTGACCCATTCAGTAAAGATATGACAAGAGCAACATACGCCAATTCCATCATAGCTCGCCTTAGACCAAGAAGGTATTGCTTGTCAGATATGTGCCCTCCTAGAATATCTAAACGGCGGCTCAAAGCAGCGCGGATTTTGGGAAGTGTATCCTTCTTGCTTTGTGAGTCCAAGCCAGCTATAGATTCCATCTCTGCTAATGCGTGCAGCTTAAGGATGTTGTCATGACACGACTGCAAAGATGCCACAGAATTGACATTGAGAGACTTTGCAACACTGAGTCGCAGGTCACAGATAATACCCTTGAATCTATTATTATTGCCCTGACAAATGGCATCAAGCGCCAAACCGACACCGATGTTAAAATCTCCTATTCCTTGCTGTGAGCAAAGCTGAAGGTAACTGCGCAATTTCTCCCATTTTCCTGTGATCCAAGATGCCTCGATTGCAAACGGGACAAACCTAGAGCCAGCGTCGGTGGTTCGGAGGATCTCAAATCGTGTAAGAATGGCATCTGTGTTGGGGTAAGCAAACTGCTGAGTTAATAATATTCCGTCAAAGGAAATACCTTGTTGTCCTGATTCTTTAAGGCATGTAAGAAGGTTCCACTGGGCATCGACATTGTTGGGCTCCTTCTCGAGTTGTAGCTCATACCAACTTTGTGCTGTAGCCCATCTCCCAGCCTTGCGATGTTCAAGAACCTGTTGGTCAATGTTGAGTGCGTGTAGGTGATTTGATATGCCCTCAATACCGTCTGGCTCATCAATTTGACTGTAGATATCTTGAAGACGCTGGAAAAGAGGTTCGACATCCTTAGAGTCTGTCTGTTTGTTCCTAGACTGCCGAATATATTGTTCCCAATGAAAAAGTGCTCTTGAGAATGATCTACACTCAACAGCCCTTTTGGAAATGACCTCGGGCGGTATAGAAGCTAGCAGGGATTCAACAGCCTTGACTTGGGATGCATCTATATCCAAACGTGAATCCGAGCACGCTTCCCTGTGAGAGCGGCTTGCGTGATAGCTTTGACTCCTAAGACTATTGAGCTGTTTTTTCTTCCCTTGTAGCCACCTAGAAAGATAGTCGAGGATTTCGAAAATGCTCTATACCCAAAGCGAGAGGAAGTTAATTCAGTGCCTCTGGACCTCTCCGATGTTCCGTACAGAGCACTTACCTGGCTGCACAATAGAATAGCTTCGTATATATGGTTAGCGGAGTCTGGAAGTAGGTGAGATAGAACGCTTGTCAGTTCGTGAAGCAAATCTTCCTTTTCTTTCTGGGTGCCTCCAACTATACGGTTCAGCACTGCAAATGGCAGAAGAAAGGATGCTATAGATATGTCCTGGCCTTTTACGATGCGACTAGATACACTGAACACAAGCTTCGCATTGTCACCACTCCCCTTCTGTAGCAGATCCTGCACAAAGGTCCGCAGCCACTCACCATGCGTTAGAGTAGCCGAGAACAATGGGTAAGCGCAGCTTGAATTAACAGCGCCGACGGTGACCGTATACTTGGACGTGAGAAAGGGGGTCAAAGTGTTGCGAACCGTCTCAGGAAGCTCTGACCAACGTTCATACTTTTTATCTGCCTGGACATCGCGAGAGCGCTGGGTAACAACTGAATCAAGACCACAGAATCTGAGTAAATTTTGCATAGCGTACGCAAGAAATCCCTGGGC